ATATATTATATATATATTATATATATATATATATATATATATATTATGTTATATATATATATATATTATGTTATATATATATATATATTATGTTATATATATATATATATTATGTTATATATATATATATTATGTTATATATATATATATTATATATATATATATATATATATATATATATATATATATATATATATATATATATATATATATATATAATATAATCGTTCTCCATACGATAAATATTCTCATGTGGTTAAGAGCGCTTTTCCAATACCTTGTCGACAAAGGGTGCACAATCGATCTAATGGGCAGGATTTCCTCCGTTATTATATGCTATTTAACCCTTAGAGTGCACGCGGCTCCCTCTCACACCTTCCACGAATAGCCAAACTTTGTGGGACTTGGAATATGAAAAAGTTGTATTTGAAAGAGCGGGGAATGCAAGTTGTGTATTAGTGGCCCAAGCTGGTGAGGGCAGGCACCCCAGCCCGCACCATTGTTGACGGCTGACACCAGCCCTACCACCATCTAGTCCTACCACCATCTAGTCCTACCACCCTCCAGCGGACCCTACACATGGCAGCCCCAGTTAGGGCTGCCATGAGGCTGGTTATACGTGTCTAGTTGTATATCATCATATTCCTGTCTGGGCGCGCGCGGATGTGTGTGTGTGTGTGTGTGTGTGTGTGTGTGTGTGTGTGTGTGTGTGTGTGTGTGTGTGTGTGTGTGTGTGTGTGTGTGTGTGATTTGATAGGGTTCTGATGTATGATTTATGGGTGTGTTGGTGCGTGTGGTGGGGTGCGCCAGAGTGCGTGTGGTGGGGTGCGCCAGAGTGCGTGTGGTGGGGTGCGCCAGAGTGCGTGTGGTGGGGTGCGCCAGAGTGCGTGTGGTGGGGTGCGCCAGAGTGCGTGTGGTGGGGTGCGCCTGAGTGCGTGTGGTGGGGGTGTTAGAGTGCAGGTGGGTGCAGGTGTATAAGCTTAATAATGGTAATGCGAGTCCGCTATCATGGGTTAATGGGGCCCAAATTATGGGCAAGCAGTGACCAACCCAGACCCCCCCCCCCTCCCCCTTAGTGACTCATGACCTACACGCTCCCCTCTCTCATCCTCTTCTCTCTCCCCCCTCCCTCCTCTCCCCTCTTTCCTCTCCTCTTCCTTCCTCGTTCCCTACCTTCTTTCTTTCCTCTTTCTTTCCTCTTTCCTCCCTTCTCATTTCCCTCCTTTCCTTTCTCGCTCCCGTTTCCCTTTGTTCCCTCCTTCCCTTCTACCCCCTTCCCCTCCCCTTCTACCTCTTCCCTCCCTTCCTCCATCTACCTATATCCCCTGATTTATTAAGTCTGTTTCATACCCTTCTCGCGTGACTCTTCTCCCTCTTCCGTCCTGTCTCCCTTCTTATCACGTTCTCTCCTCGTCTCTCTCCCCCTCTCCCTCTCCCCTTCTAATTCCCTCGTTACCTGTGAGTGGTGTCCTTCGTTCTTTGTTATGTCTCCCTCCTCGTTTTAAGGTCATTCCTCCCCCCCTTACCTTTGTCTTGACTTTGTCTTGGCTCCCTTTATCTATCAATTACCTCCCTCTTCCATCCCTTCCCCTCTGTGTCATCCTGTCTCTTCCCTTTCCCACTCATTCTCGTTCTCTGTTCTTATCGTCTTCCACTCTATTCATCCTCTTCCTTCCCTTCCACTCTCTTCCATTCCCTCGTACCTGTCATTTTTTCTCCCTTCCCACTTGCCCAATTCCATCTTTCCTTGTCATTTGCCTTCTCTTACCTTTTCAACCTTCCCTTTTCTCTCTCTATTCACATTTTTTTTGTACTTACTCTCCTTTTCCCCTCTCCACCCCCCCCTTTCCTACCACTCCCTTCCCTCCTCTTTATCTTTCCTCTTCCCCTCATCTTGTAATCTTCTCAGTTCCCCTTACTCTTATCTCCCCCTATCCTTCAGCCTCCTTTTCCTCCCATTCCTTTGAGTAGCTCTCCCCCCCTCCCTCACTTTCTCTTCCCTTTGTTCTTTGCAGCCACCTCCTTTCCCCTCCCCTTTCCTTTGCCTCTGTTCTTATTGCTCCGCCCTCCTGTAATTTTTCTCCTCTTCCGTCCTTCGTATATCTGTGTCCTCTCCCCTTCCACCACAACCCATTCCCTTCCCGCGTGTTACGTCCGCTATCTCCTTTTCCCTTGCACTCTCCCTTCCACCAGCGGAAAGATGAATAGTTGGTAGGAAATTTGGAAAATATGTAAAAGAGGAGGGGGTTAGGAGGGTGGGGGGAAGTAGGATAGGAAGAGGGAGGGTGTGGGGAGAGGAGGGGGAGGGGTGAGGAGGGTGAAGGAGGAGGGGATGATAGACAAAGAGGAGTTGAGTACCTCGATAGACATTGAGGATAGTTGAAGACTGAGTTATTACGTGAAGAGACCGGGGCGGGCGAACGTACGTCTGAACGCATGGGCGGGCGTATGAATGCGTGAGTATGAACGTATGGGCGTGCCCAACAGCCGACGTATGGGC